TATACGAACTTTGAAGGAGTCCCTTAAAAATGGTTTCATGGCATTAAATTTATCGTATGCAATGTAGGGAATAAAAATATTCCCAGATGACGATCATGAAAACATTTTTGAGCGACTSTTTCAAAGATCGTATCGTTTTACGATGGTGGCTCTTAAAATTTCAGATATATCCGCCTTTGTGATTCTTTAGTATAATTTAAGGTCAGATATATAACTAGGCACGAGTTGGTCACAACGTAACGCTTTATTAACTTTCTGTTGTGATGGTAACACAATATTTTTGCATATCTACATAAAAAACATATCCATTGCAGATGTTTGAATAGCTATAAAATTATTAAGCATTTTCTATCTAAAGAGTTGAGTGTTGATATTCAATCATATTTAGCGAGTAGAGAAAATAAAATATACAACTAGAAGGGTTCACAGCCGTTCCCATCGCTTCACGTCCTTCACGAATAGTAGGCGTGTCGATCTCTGTATTTGATATCTCCTCGTCAACATACACTTGATTCTAACACCCAGACAAGTAATGAGTGCCAGATTTTGATCGTAAATCTTCATGTTCTGTCGCATATTCGCTAGTAGAAAGAATAGTCATCAAAATGGCGGGTGAAACAGTGTGCAGACCGAGTTGAAAATGTGACCGAAAGGGATTATCTATAGCGTTCGGAATATACAACGTAATGTGATTGGCTAACGGACAAATAACTCAGAAAGTGATTGGCTACGAAGATGTACCGAAGCCAAACTTTCGACATAGTGAAAAAAACTGACGACGACGACAAACCAAGGAGAAAGTGACTGCATTTTACTACACGATCCCAGTGCATAGCACGGCACGTGTAAATATTTTAGTGTCTGAGTTTTAAGTCATAGTGATGTACGTTTGACCCCAACTGTCAATATTTCCATGGCAACCAGTATCATTTGATATTTTTGGAAGAGTTGAGCAAAGCTACCGTTTGTCTTGTGATCTGTCTAGTTTGTCTAACCAACATGGCGGAACTTGACACTTTTACTGACGACTTGGAATCACAGYTAACTTGTGCTATTTGTAACGATATCTTTACTGATCCAAGGACWCTACCGTGTCTACATACTTTCTGCTTTAAATGCATCAAAAGTTGGAACGAAGCTTGTCAGAGAGAAGGGAAGAGACTAAGATGTCCAACTTGTAGAGCAGTAGTCAAGGTCGAAGGAGACGACATCTCCAAGCTTCCTTCTTCCTTTACTTATAACTCGCTGCTTCAGCTTTTCAACGCCATGAAGACAAAGACTGACGAACACAACCAACAGCAGCTTCCAGAGTGTGTAAGTTGCAACAAACGAAGCGTATTGGTTGGATTTTGTGCTCAATGTGAAGGAATGATTTGTAATGAATGCATCAACCAACACAAAACAATAAAGCCATTGATAAAAACCCATCAAGCAACGCTGTGGAGTGAATTCAAGACACAAAATGTCAACAGCTACATCAACAATCAAGCCATTTGCAAGGAAAAATATCACCAGAAATGCCGTCTCGATTACTACTGCATAACGTGCAGGAAGTGTATTTGTCAAAAATGTAGTGCAACATCACACGGCAGCCATGAAAAGGTCAGCATCGAGGAGGCAGCTGAAGATGCTAAAAAGCTTATCAGAAAAGAAAAGGATCGACTCAATGAGCTGCTTATCGGTTACAAGAAAGAATTTGAACTGTTCAATGAAAATATGACAAGGATTCAAAGMGAGGTTGACACAGCAAAGGCAAAAGTACAAAATGACATAAAAGCTATGATTAAGATTCTACAAGACCGCCAAAACGCTTTGATTGCTACTTTGGACGGCCTCCTTGCAGAAAAAGCAACTGCAAATGAAGAAGAGAAAAAGCAGATCAACGCCAACATTCAACAAGTCACTGAGCTGAAGCATCAGTGTGAAACAATGGAAGAGAAAAACTTAGAAAAATTCATATTGGAAAGCTACGAAAATTTACTAGAAGTTTGTAAAGCTACAGCACAAAACAAGTCGATCTTAACGACCCAACCAGTCAAGCGAAACTTAACCGTATGTTATATTCCGAACCCGGAAGTCGTCCCCTGGATGAGAAAATTCAAACTCGGCGAGATAGTGGAAAGCGTGACAGATCCGTCCCGTTGTTCTATCGAATCTCTAAGTGACGTCAGATGTGGTTTTATCAATGAATTTGTGATCGTGACAAGAAATTCACAARGKGATATATGCCATACCAGGGAAGRTATRATTGATGTACAAATCCAAGATGTCGATGGCAACGATGTTGAGAAAGAATTGATTGATACCGAAACTGGAAGAATTGTAGTGAAGTACAAAGCAGAGAAACCTTCACCGTACAAAGTTGTGGTCAGCATTGGAGYCAAACAAATCAAAAACTCACCACAGAACATTGACACAATCGATGCTCAAGCACAATTTAAACCYTTGAGGATAATTGATGTCAAAGAGAGGATGTTCCAACCTGTTGCACTTGATGTAAGTGACAGTGGYGACATTGCTGTGGTTAATAATGATTTCAAAAGTGGTTCCACTGTTGTGTTGTTCAATGCTGATGGAGAGTATTTGCGAGACATTGGTGGYGCAGGATCAGATGGTCAGCTGAATGATCCATGTGGAGTAATCTTCAATGAGGACAAAATAGTCATCGCCGATAATCCAGGTGATCGTGGCTGTATCAAGGTATTTGACATCAATGGTACCTACAAAAGAACTGTTTTCAAACTACCTAGAAGAATGCAGAGAGTGAAAGGAATGTATACATCCAATCAAACCATCGCGTKTTTGTGTTATAATGCCAATACCAAAGAGACATTTATCAAGTGCTTTGATAAGCACAGTTATGATCAYCTTCATGACATCAAACTGGATTTTCCTGACGATGGTTATGGGATTCCATTCACATTAGCTTATGACAACAATAAGTACTTTGTATCGTTTCTTCTTGGTGTGGACATTGTTTATGTTTTTGACAAGAATGGTGTTCTATTGTACACATTTGGAATGAAAGGCAACAAAGAAGGTCAGTTTAATGGTGTATGTGGATTTGCYGTGTTTGGTAAAGAAATGCTTCTTGTCTGTGATCTAAATAACCATCGCGTGCAAGTCTTCAGTCAAGACGGTCAGTTCTTAAGGTCCTTTGGTAGTAAAGGTGCAGGTCTTGGTCAAATGAATGGTCCTTATGACGTTGCTGTTACACCAGATGGTCGAGTATTTRTRCTKGAABRKT